GGTGAGTTTCGGAAAAATATCGGAACAGTTTAGAGCCAGGATCACTCGTCTGTGAGAGGTGATGACGTTCAACGAGAAGGTTTATCTAATGGCGAATCCAAGATCAGGGTCAAGCATCACGTAGCGGAAAAATGGGCTGCGAGGCGGGCCGCTGTACAATATCATGAGATGCATTTTCCTTCGATGATCTCGATCCTGCTCTCAAAATCTGCCTAGTTTTTTTTTGTACTAAGATTCCGTCTATCATGTTCCTCTTTACTTTGTCGCATGTACGGAAGCGTCCTTAGTGTGTAGAGATTGTAAGTCATAGTGGCATGAACGAATGGTAGTGGATTTTTCCGACAGGCGAATTGGCGCATGGAAGCTCCACCAGCGTTCCAAGCGTCCGGCAGGGTCAGCAACTGGGAAAGCATAGATATCATTTAACATCTGTCAGCGTCTACCAGGGTCCACCAGCGTCTCGAGGCCTACCGAAGTACATGTATCGATCTAGCGTCTGCCAGCCTACCAGCGACCAGCAGCGTTTAGGAGTGGGTATGGGGCAATAGGAGAGTTGCAGACAGCTGGTAGATAGTATGGCGCGATGGGAGAGTAGAGACAGCTGGAAGAGTATGGAAAAATAGGAGGGTCGCAGACAGCTGGTAGAGTAATGGGAGATAGGAGGGTAGCAGGCTGCTAGTACGCTCCTTTCGCCCCATATTCTCTACTCCCGGACGCTGCTGATCGCTGGTAGACGCTGGCAGACGCTAGATCGATATCTATACTTTCCTAGTCGCTGACGCTGCCGGACGCTCGAAGCGCTGGTGACGCCGGCGCAAAGTCTGAACGCAGACTTAGCGTGTGTAAGTTGCAAGCCATGGCTGCACGAAGCTGTAAGAGTAGGTTGGCCTTATAAGCAAAATAGGCAAACTGGTTTCATGATAGGATGAATTCTTGCCTTTTTCAAAATCTCTAGAAACTAAAACTTCAAAATTGCTGGACATAAGCTCTTGTCTGTTCAAGTGGCGGGAGACGGACACGACAATCGTGATACGCGTCGCCGCACGCGGCATATCGTGCGGCTGTGCACGGCAAAACCTCGATGGGCACCAGTTTGTCGACAGGAGCAGCAAAACTCATATGGGTTGAATTAGCATGACGAGCGATACAGAATTTCCCCATCCTTTTGACAGGCCGGAAAAAAGGCAAATTTGCAGAGAACTGGCTACAAAACATCCAAAGACAGCCCTCGCTTTCGAGCAACTCGTATGCATCCTTACTTGCACAAGTCTGGCCCTCAAGTCTCTAGGGTTATCCCTTTTTTCCGCGCTTCCAGTGAGTGGCGAAGGCGCTGTAGGCTTCATAAGCCGGCATTTCTGACGTTTCCCCAGTTATTCCTGCACCGAAACCCAAGGCTATTTCCTCTCACAAGTTCAATTTTTACCGCGTTTTCCGCTTCTTCTTCACTGCTCCGTGGTGTTAGCATTGCATGAAGCGAGGAAACAATGAGCGAGTCTGGGGCAGCAATATTGCTGACATGAAACGAGCAGCTTCGAAAAACTCATCCAGAGAGGCCACCAGGTCTTTACTTAGGGTGTTCGCCACTGTTTTTTTCTCGCATTTTTCTTCCCTGAAGAGTTATTTTTCTTCGACTGTAAGTTTGTAAGTTTGAGCGCCACTACTTACAATACACAATCGGAGGGTTTCTCTGAGGTGTGCGACAAGACAATCATAATATGTCGCGCTAGTGGGCGTGGCGAGCGACGCCGCGCCCGACAGACGACTTGTCCTGCCCGGCCGTATGAAGTTGAGTGTTAACGCGTCGGATAGACCCTTCATCCGTTATGATGTCTTGTCTTCGCTTGAATACATATGATTTTCATTACTCCAGTTGACAACCCGATGCACATTGAGAATTTGCCGCGCATCGTCGAACGATACGTCGCGCGCGACGCAACAAATCACAGTTGCTCTGTCCTTCTTCTCCAAAGTAGAGATGGAACGACGGTCATCAGCGAGGGCCTCACTGAAATCAATCCGTACAAATCGTGTGAATGCTTTTTCATCAATCTACGAACCCCTCCAGGTTTCTCCAGGTCCTCATATTAAAAATATAGCCACTTATCACTGATATTTTTCTGCGTTGTACAAATTTTCTTCAACAGCAAGATAGCACTTTATAGAAATGGCCAGAACACTTGGAATGTTGCAGTTCAAATAAGTCCACTCAATGAGTCATCTCATTTACTTAAATTCTTTCATATATTTACACTGGGTTGACTGATCCACATATAACAAACGTTAACTGCACATCAAACAAGAAAACAATTTAGAATCACTGTATACTGATGATATAAGGAACAACCATTACACAAACAGTTGCTTACAATGAACTTAATACGGCCGTCCACGTCCCCTTCCTCGTCCTCTTGGACCGCCTCTTATGGGACCACCACCGCTCCTGCCATCTCTGCCCTCTCTTCCATCTCTGTTCCGATCATAGTCTTGGTTATTGTTACCGTAATATCCATCGCCTGAATGAAAATGACTTTATTTTTGTCTCCTTGGATACACTGTGAACTCACCTTGCTGTCTGGGTGGTCCCGATTGCTGTCTCCAACTGTCATATGGGCTTTCGCTCGATTCTTCATACTGAGAAGGAGGACCTTGCGACGGTGGACCTCCCCACTGCCGATTGACATTTGGCGGTGGTCCCGTTGGAGGTCCCTGTTGACTGTGAGACGGATGAGGCCCACCGTGATGTGGCGGCATACTATGCGGCATTTGACCAGCTGCATTATGTGTCGGTGGCATGGGTAAATCCTGAAAAAAATGTGATTTGACGCTGGAAAATTCCTCTGTTATCCTTGCTGTGACCACATGATAATATGAAAACACTGACTACTGGTGTAACAATGTGGGATTGATGAGACACTACTCCTGAGACCATAGCTGAGTGTCAGTGGAATGTTTCCGAAGCACCTTTAAGCCCATTATGTGAAATAACCTGGGAAGGTGATATTTGCTACTCCAGATCATTAGTCCCAAATTAAGGATGTCTAGCCCTGGTGATGAACACCAGGCACCAATGACCATCAACCTGAAGACAAACTGTACACTTAGGTCTGAAGGTGGTCTTTTTTCGTGTGCTAGGTGAATGAGTCCGCAGCTGCAGTAGCGTACTACTTCCTCCGCTCGAAGGTGCATGGGAACGGGCTGGAGATAGTAATACTCGTGCCGTTTCCATACTCTCCCGCGCTATCGCCCTGTGCACCACTTGGGTAGACATCGAGGGAGGGGGGGGGCATGAAACACGTGCTCAGCTGTAGAGAACAGCCAGAAGCGAAAAGGCACGGACGAGCAGCGCGTTGCATAGGCTGTGGTTGGCCATGCGGCAAGGTGGGCGGAGTATGGAGACACCACTTGAGTATCACTACCCACCCTACAGCCCATTTCCGTGCATTTTTGACCGGAGGAAGGGGCAAGCCACTGCAGTTGCGGACCCATTTTATCTCGTGAATGGCAAGGACCAAGATCTACAAAGGTGTGTTTGCAGCTTGTCTTTAATCTTTTCCCAACTGGATAACATGGTGTCTGTCCACAGACGCAGACAATTCTGGTCCCGAACGAGTCAAGAAACCGGTCTAGGTGAGCCGGTGACACTGGTTGCTTTTTGGAGAACCTATAGACAAGGAAGCTCCCCGGCACACCATTCTCAGTAACCATGCATTTTTTTTG